TGTGAGTGCCATGAAAGCTATCCCAGATTCAAGGCACACTTTATTCAGTACTTATTTAAAGCCACTACTTAAAGAGTCTCAAATACCAACTAGTTGACACATTAGTTTGAGGGGGGAAAAGGTATTTAATCAAGCAACATAGCAAGATAAACTGACATTTTGGTTTTCAGTCATGTCCAACTCTTCATGACCCCATGAACCATCGCACACCAGGTCCTTCTATCCTCTACTATCTCTTGAATTCCTGACACACATAGAGATATATTTCCCCATTTCACTGATGGAAGAAGGAACCTGTATAGCCAAGTCAACTCAGGATCCTGAGGTCAAATCCCAACTGGAACTACTTGCTTATTTCTCTATTGTGTTGCAAACTGCTGGTGCCTTCTTTTGGGTTATCTTCTTTACTGTGCTGCCATCTTCTGATCCACCATTATACTGCTCTCCTCTGACTCTCTACTGTACTTTTCTCTGCTGCCATCTGTTGGTTCTTTGCTGAATTTTAGCTGCTGTGCAACTTCTCCATAGAGAAGGGGGTCTTAGCTCTTTTAGCCTATAGTCTCAGAGGCTATTTCAGCTCTCTGAGTCAGACCCACAACTACACCTGGCTAGCCAGCCAGCAAAAATCCTAGGCTTAGGTTAAATCTGTCTTGAACTGCTTTCTTTCTCCCAAGTGCCATTCCCTACAGTCAGTCTGCAATTTGAATTGGGGGAAGTACATTCCTTTTAGCTCTCATAATGCCCCTTTTTTGCTAGACTGGGTCCATGAAAATCACCCCAGGAATTTCACTTGGCAATTATAGAGGTATAGGGTAGAGTAGCAACATTTGACTTGTCTCCAAAAATCATTACTCTTTCTAATGAGTAAAATTATGCACCCTTAAAGTAAATATCATTTGCAGACAGGCCCTAATTACTCTACCGACACAAGAAGAGCTGTGACTACAATTTATTAAAGAAGTATAAATTGGGCCTTAATTAATGACTTTGCTAATTGAACAGATCTTTCATTCTAACATTTATATGCAACATCCACATGCACACACACACACACATATGTGTGTGTGTGTGTGTGAGTATATATATATATATATATACTCACACAGAAAAATTTTGGTATTCAACATTGACAATTATATTAAATTTCAATGTTTCAATGGCTAGATGTCTATTTTTTCAGTAGAAGGGAGAACAAAAACAGCACTAATAATCTTTGGATATCGTTCCTTTATTATTGGTGGCCCTATTCTGTGTAAAGCATCAGCTTATACCAGATATAGGCAGGGAGAAGTAAATATTTTAAACATCTTTCCATATAGTAGTTTAAGGCACAATATCAGTTCATAAAGCAAATTGTTACAACTGGCATTCAGGCTCATCAGATTTCTGGAGCAGATCTGACGTTGATGTAATTGGTCTGTCTTATGCTCAGTTTTTCTTAGACATAGGTGAATCACCTGGGATTTATATATACACACGTAATACATACCTATGCACACACAATGTGTACATATGATGCATGTGCATCTGTATGTATGTATATACCAACCTTTGCACATACATATCCATGACTGGGAGATTTTCCTGTCTACTCTCCAAAAGCAGAGCTCATACACAAATTCTTTCCAGCTGGGCAGAATTTTTCAGAGCTAGTATTCTGCTCTGGGGAGAGGAGTGAACAAGGGAACACGAGGGAGACACACAGAGACAGGTGGATGGGAATGTATTTGGCAGTTCATCCCTGAAATAGCTAATGGGGAAGCAGGGTGGGTATTAGATTTAGAGGCACTGAGAGGGTGAGGTGAAAATGACATTCCACAAAATAACTCACCCTTAGGAACAGATTCCTAAACCCCAACTCTGTTGCACAGAACCCTTTGGCATGGAAAGTCAAAGCTTGTGGGCCACTGGCCAGGCTGAAGGGGTGTGAATGAGAGGGTTTCTCAAAATACCCTTGGGCCTCAGGACCTGATATTCATATTCAACAGGTGAAATCTACCATCTTTGTTCTCTGGGAAATAACAGTGGTGGCAAACATAGGAACTTCATTGCTATTGTCTCAAGATAGCACCAACAAAAGGGACAGTTCTCTGCAGTAGCAGGAAGGGCTCAGGTCAGACACAGATCATTGATTTAGAGATGGAAGGGCCTTTAGAGGTTATCAGATCTAGCGTGCTAATTTTATAGATGCAGAGACTGAGACCCAGAGAGGTTACAAAGCTTGTCCAAGGTTGCACAACTCTTAAGTAACTGAGGCAGGATTTGAAGCCTAGGTTTTGCCTACTCCATGTCCAGTGCTTTATCCACTATACCAGTGGGTTTCCACTAAGCTCATAAAACCTCCCCAACTGAATGAATTGTGAGGAGCTAAGGAAGTCGGTTCCTCTGGGCTTTGGTAAATAAAGCCAGCAGACTGCTAGCTTTCAGGCCAAGAGGGTAGTTGTCATATGCACTGAATTTGGGAGGGTGGTCTAAATATAGGGCTTAAGGCGAGGGTAGGGACTCCTACAGGCTCATGAGAGGCAATTATTAAATTTTCAGTGAGCGTTTACACCTCAGAAACTGGTAAACACTAAAATCAGGGCTTGATTTATTGTTTTGTTGATTATCTAAATGTAAGAAAGTGATAGAGAAAATAATTCAGGCTAAACTTAAAAGTGTGTCATGTTTACATTTTTTCCTCAGAGAGCTGGTTGTTAAATATTTACCAGCATCTTTTGAATGAGAGTCTTTTATAGTGTACCAGATTTTCTTCTTATCCAAGAGAAACTGTTCCTGTGATCCCCTTCCACTTGCCCATGAAATACCTTTCATTCTGGAGCCTATGGTGGAGCTACTGTCTTCTGAAAGGCCTGTACCCTTCCGCCTTGTCTCCTTGTTACCCAGGGAAGTATCAGGACTAAGAATTGTTACTGTGGTATTTGGTTTGCAGTAGGGGACCAGGATGAGGAAAACACAAACTTTTTTCATCACCCTTGAACTTCACAAGGAATGGTCTTGGGCAAAACCAATGAGATTTAGATTCATGGATATACTGAGGGATTGTTGAGTGGAAGGGATATATGGAATCACCTGGTCCAGTTCCCTGACTTCACAAATAAGGCCACTGAGACCCATTTGCCCATGGCCACATAATGAATTAGTGGCAGAGCTAGGTCTTCTTATCTCTGGTCTCCTTATTCTCAGCAATGTGCAGCCACCTCCCTCCTTGCTATGGTTCCCAGCCCTCTCTCTGTGGTGCCCTTGGGTTAAAAGCACTATATAGAGGAAAGAACATAAGACTTGGAAGCCGAGGATGTGGCTTCAAATGTTCCTTTTGCTACTTGCCACCCATGTAGGTCTGATTTAATTGCTTAATTTTCCCTGGACCTGTTTCCAAAACTGTAGAATGAAGGAGTTGGAATGATGGGGTGCTTGGGTGCTGATGTTTGGGTGCTTGTACTTGGACCCCAATTTCTCTCTGGCCTTAGAAACACTATCCCTAACAATTTCTCCCCAGCCCAAGGACACTGTGCCTAGCAATTACTCATGAGTGGGCCCCAGCAAGACCCTTATCTCTTTCCCTGGTGCAGTTCCAAACAGCACCTGAAGGATTTATTAGTTTGAACTGACTTTGCACTGGGTCATAAAGACATTTTTACCCCCTGAACTATCTATTCTACTGCCCTACCTCATTATCTACATCCTGGACTCCTCATTAACTGTGTTCTAGACTTAAGATGTATGTATACTCCCTACATCTATCTTGTCAAACAAGACATTGATTGGTGGCAGACTGGACAACTCTTAGTTACCCTTGAACTCTAGTTAACTTAGTGATGTAGCAGGTCTAAAACCACACCTCCATGAGGCCCCCTTTGTGGGCTTTCCCAGTGAACTTTGGGTAAAACGCCTTCACAGTAGATGCAAGAAGTATATGTTTCTTTAAGAACTGGCCACTCCTTAACCATTCCCTAATCCCGCCCTGAATCACCTAATTAGCATATTTGACACATGTCTTACCATATTTTATACTATATAAACTTTAACTATACTGTTTTAAGATTGCAGATTCCTTAAGAATCCTTGCCCACTGAAAAGCATAACAATAAACTTTTTGCAACTTGACTTGAAGACTGCTTGAGTTTGTGAATCCATTCCAGACAACCCATCTTGTACTTTGGTTTTTGAGGGGTCCCAACCTCTCTGCCCTCATCAGGAATGGCTGACATTTCTAAGGCCTACTTTCTAGTACAGCTGGTGATCTCACAGTGGCTAGACCATGGGGAGAGACAACCAAAGGGCATCCTGAGCTGTGAGGGAAAGCTGACTCAGAAAGAAAAATGAATTCCATAGCCAATAATCTAACCACAGATAACAGAAAGTTGACTATGGTTTAGAACTGCCTCCTGCAGGTCTTTGGGGGTAGGATCTGGCTTCTACCTGCCTCACTTATGACCTTCAGACTATGGTTCAGTTTCTTGGATGATTGATCATGAAGGTCATGGACAGATGGGCAGATCAAGGTCAGTGTACTCCTACTCTGGGATGTCTACCCTTCTTGGGGGAGTACAATAGCATTTGTATAATGCTGCTCATTCTAGGAAGACCTTGTGATATTTTTCTCTAAGTTGTGGCTATAGCTAAATGTTGTTGCATCTCACAGGAGGGAAATTACAGTACATTGGAACCTTAGGGATGAAATGGATTCAGAAAAACCTGGGAAGACTTGTATGAACTGATGCAGTGAAATAAGCAGAACCAGGAGAACAATTTATGCAATAACAACAATGTAAAGACAAGCAACTTTGAAAGACTGCAGATCTATGATCAATGAAATAACCAACCATGATTCCAGAGGTCTGATGATGTGCTACCCACCCACTGACAGAGAGGTGATAGCCTACAGAAGCAAAATGGGACATCATTTTTTTTGGACATTGTCAAGGTGGCAATTTGTTTGGCTTGACTAGGGAACACTTATTACAAGGTTTTTGATTTTTTTTCTCCCTTTTACATGGCACAGCTGGGAGGGAGAGAGAAAATAAATGCTTTCTACTTAAAAATAAAATGAACTGAAAAAAAATAAAAGAACCTTAGGGGGAATCACATATTGCAAATCTTATTCATATGGCAAAAAGCAAGAGGAGCTTCTTACAAAGCCCCATATTCCAAAGTTAGGAGAGATCAGCGATTCATACTGTCATCCAGGCTCCCCTAGGAGTTTATTTACTATCTAAGGCAAAGATCAAAGGTTAATCCCCCTCCAGGGGGTGAAGAAAGTTCCCCCTTATGCCAGGGATTTTGGAAGCCTGAGTCCCACAGGAAGAAGGGAGGATGCAGGATGCATGATGGCATAGTTTCAGGCACTTCAAAGGGATCAGGGCCATTGTCATGCTGGCACCAAGCAGAAGAACCTAGGGCTTCAGCAGAGAAGAAGCTGAAAAGTGATATTGGAAGCTTGGTAGGCTAGGGCTTGGGAGCCTCTCTATCCAGAAGGAAGACGATGTGTTCGACCTTCAGTATGACTGCAGCTGGATCCGCCCGTATAAGCAGCAGGTGAGAACCATCCCACATATCTGACAGAGAGAAATGGAGAAAAAGAAAGGAGAAATTAGAGCTCCATGAAGTTTCTGGCCATAGATGCTGCTCGTCCATACGGCATGCCTCCCCTCACAGCCCCTCAATCTAAGTTGCTGCCAAACAGTCACGTTTAAGAGGCTTCACCATATCTCCCTCAAGAATTCTTTCACTGTGACTGTATTTTTTCATCTCACCACACCTCAGACTTTGAAACAAAGCTAAGGAGAATGGAAACTTCTTTAGGAGAAGGGACCCTTTTTGTCTTTGCATCTATACCCGGTGCATCACAGCGTCTGCTACATAGTAAACTCTTAATAAATGCTTGATATTTGTTGTTCAGTTGTGTCTGACTCTTTGAGTGGCTTGCTATTTCCTTCTCCAACTCATTTTACAGATGAGGAAAGTGAAGCAAAAGGGTTAAGTGACTTGCTCAGAGTCACACAGCTAGTAAGTGTCGGAGGCCAGATTTGAACTTATGAAGATGAGTCTTCCTAGTTCCCAGCCCACTGTGCCACTGAGTTGCTCCTTGCCAAATCCCTATAAACCAGTGAGGAAACTCATGCTCAGAGACAAGGAGTGGTTTTTTTTCCCCCAGTTCACACAGCAAGTTTTGGACCTGGGAACCAAACCCAGGTATCTAGCTAATGACCTATAGTTTTGGTCATAAGAGGATGCAGAAGGCAAAGGATCTGAAAGTCACTTTATCTTTGTAAGCCTCAATTGTTCCATCTGTAAAATAAGAATAATTCTAGTTCTTCCCATCCACACCCTCACCCTCTATTCCTTCCCACTGCTTCCTATCTAAGGATGCTAAAGGGATGAATGAGCATAATGATAGGAAAAAAGAATTCAGTTTACAAGTCCAAGTTGGCACCATGATTAGGATTAAAAAATACAAACTCTTTATTATCACCTGAATGAAAAGAAGCATAGACATCACTGACAGTCACAGATGGCCTTAGGATATAAGTGAGGGGTTAGGACCAGGACCCCAGCCACTCAGGAAAGAGCATGGAATGTAGTCCTAGCGACTGGGATTGCTGGGCAGCTGAGACCACCACTTGACATGGAAAATGTCTCTGGTGCTTGGATTTGCTGCTGGTGGTGTTAGGTTTTCATGCATGCCAATCTATTCTCATCTTCTGAATTCTGAAATTCCCTTAACTCATCACAACCTGTTATCATTCCATCTCTTTCTCTCCAGCTTTCCTATTTTTCCCAGTTTCCCAGTTTTCCTATTACTGTCAAAGGCACCACCATCATCTCGATCACCCAGACTTGCAGCCTATGTAATCTGTGTCTTGTTGATTCTCCCTTTACAGCATCTCTTATCTATACCTCTTCTCTCTTCTGACATGGTCAATACCCTCACCACCTCACAATAGGACTATTACAGAGACTTCTGGTAGGTCTCCCTGCCTCAAGTCTCTTCCTGGTCCAGTTCATTCTCCACTTGGCTGTCCAATTGATCTTCCTCAAGTTCAGATCTGACCATGTCATCTCTCCCCTGAATATATTCCAGTGACTCCCTATCACCTCCAGGATCAAACAGAAAACATTTTTAACGTCCTCCATAACCTAGTCCCCTCCTACCTTTTCAGTCTTCTTACACCTTTCTCCCCTCCAAATATTCTACAGTCCTTCCTGTTTCTTGAACATGACCCTCCATCTGCCAACTCAGGGCATTTTCACTGGCTGTTCTCTATGCCCAGAATGCTATTTCTCCTCCATCTCCTTCATTCCCTAGATTCCTGTAAGTCCTTGCTAAAACCCCACCTTCTATGGGAAACCTTTCCCAATCTTCCTCAATACTAGTGTCTTCCCTCTGTTGATTACCCCCAATTTATCCTGTGTATGTCTTTTTTTTGTACATAGTTGCTTGCATATTGTCTTTCCCATTAGACTGTGAAGTCCTTGAGAGCTGAGATTGTTTTTTTTTTTTTGGTGGGGGACTTTCTTTATACCCCAGAACTCAGCACTAGACAGACCTGTGAATTCACTGGAATAGGGGATTTCTGGATGAGGAAACTCTCTACCAGTGCAGGATGGCACTCTCTCTTAGCAGCTTAGTCTTATAATATTTCCTAGAGCACTGAAAGTTTAAGGGGCAATGCCTGGACCACACAGCCACTCTGTGTCAGAGGTGGAATCTCTTCTTTGTTCCAAGTCCAGCTCTCTGTCTACTAAGACAAGTTGCCTTTCAGAGTAATTGTGAGCCTCAGGAAATGACAGAGCTCAGGGGCAATCTCTGCCACTTTGATGTCACAGGAGTTCCCTAAGGGGAGATGCCCTATTCTTTCATCCACTTTCATGCACTACAGTGACTCCTTCTCTCAAGGCATCTAGTGAGAAATCACTGAGGAAGGGGAGAGACTGTGGAGTCTTCTCTCCTCTATAGCCGGCAAAAGGCTGTGGTCCTTGGCATCTTCCATTTGCTCTTTTTACTTTTGGATGGAAGAGACTGGAGGCTCCATGACCCTGTGATTCTGGAGGGAACTTTGGTGTTCCAGGTCAGGTTCCAGATCAGCCCACATACCTCTGATGCTCTGAGAGGTAAGCAGTTATATGGACATGAACTTGGTAGAACAAATGCTCTGTAAGCTTTGAGCTCAAATATGAGCCAGAACCCTGCAAAGATGGAGGTGGTGTGTGGTGATTTATGCCCGTGAAGTACTGTTAGTACTTTGTTCTTGCAATCTCTTTGAAAATATCCCTTTGTAAAGGCCTGTCAACATTAAGTGGTTAGATATAGTAATATCCCTATTTAAGAAACTGAGACTAAGAGAAGTTAAATGACTTGCCCAGGGTCACACAGTCTGACATGGGGTTCAAAATCATATCTTTTTCACTCCCAAGTCTTGAGTTTTAGTCACTGTGCCAAGCTAATAAAATTATATTGAACTGCCCTGTGATGTAACATTTAGAAAACCCCTTCCAGGTTGATATCAGCATATTAATCAATACTCTTACAGGGTGGCTTAAGCAGTTAAGGATTCACTTATTTGCGATATTATGCATAGCATTTCTTCAGCTTGCTCACTATAATATCATAATTGCCTTTGTCAAAGGCCTCCTAAAATTGACCTAGGGCTACAAGATTCCCCCTCCCTCCCCTAGTCTATCAGTCTGGTAACCCTATTTAAAAAGCAATTAAGTTAGTCTGGTATGGCTTTTCAAGAATCAAGAATCTAGGAAATGGAAGGGAACTCTGAGGTCATCTACTTCAAACTGTGTCTGACCAGGAATGCCTTCTACAACCTTGAGGACAAGAGGACATCCAATCTCTGTTGGAAAGCCTTCATTGAAGAGGAATTTGCCACCTCCAGAGGCAGCCCATCTCTATTGTTGGACAGCTCTAAATATTGGGAAGTTTTTTCTTAAATTAAGTCTAATCTGCCTTTCTGTAACACCCTACTATTTTTAAATGAACTAGTGCTGGCTTGTATAGTACTCATGTAAGTGCTCACATACCATTTGCTTGGTAATATCTTTTGTAATTTTCCAGGGATTGACATCAAGGTAGGTAGGTGGTCCTTGATGTGTGGATTATATTCCCTGCTCACCTCTACCACTCTAGATACCTCCTTTCCTCAAGTGTTACCTCCTACATGCTACTCTTCCAGATACTCTGAAGTTGTAAGTGCCCTCCCTCTCTCCCTTTTTAAATTACTTTAAGTGTGTGGGTATTTTTTTGGGGGGAGAGGAGAGGAAGTCAGAACCTGGGATTTCATCTGTGTAGGGAACGCCCTTGGTAACTCTCTCCCAAAGGTAGAAATTCTCTCCACTAATGCAAATCAGCAAGTCATCAGTAACTTATAGTTTTAGAGAATTGCCTGGGGCACTGAGAAGTTATATGATTTGCCCATGCCTTTGGAGGAGATGATTTCTCCCTTCATGATCTTAGGGCTGAGGAGAAATTGAATAACAGAATGAGAATCAGAACATGCTAGAGTGGGAAGGGATCTCAGCAAGCCTACTAGGGGCAGAACTTCATGTCTCCTGGTTGCAAGACTGGTGTCTCTTTCCATTATACTATATTGCCTTTTGCAACTTTGTCTATACTTTGTATCTGCATCTTTGTGTGCCTGTCATATTCTTCTAGTAGACTATAAGATCCTTTGAAGGCAGGGACTGTTTATTTTTGTCTTAAAATCCCAAGCCTCCATCTAAATGCCTTGCTTGAAAGCACAGTGGGTGTTTAATATAAATATTGGTTAAGTTGAATTGTTGTCATTCAGTCGTCTCAGTCACATCCAATTCTTTGTGACCCCATCTGGGGCTTTTTTGGCAAAGATACTGGAGTGATTTGCTATTTTCTTCTTCAGCTCATTTTACAGATGGGGAAACTGAGACAACCAGGGTTAATTGACTTGCCCAGAGTCACACAGCTAGTAAGTGTCTGAGGCCAGATTTGAACTCAGGAAGATGAGTCTTCCTGATTCCAGGTCTGGCACTCTATCCACTGAGCCACCTAGCTGCTCATCACTCTATCCACTAGGCTACTTAGCTGCCCCTAAGTTGAATTAGAATGTGACTTATTGTCTGTTGATTTGATTTAGTAGAACAAAATGCTGCCTTCCTAGCTCTTTTAGAGCAAGTGGCCAGACCATGTCTCCCATCCATACTCAGGATCATTCAAGGACTTGTAAGATGACAAGAGAAATAATCCTGTTCAGTGACCTTCTGATAATAAATATCAGGTAAAGCCTAAAACCAGAAGGTATATGCTTGCCAAGGGTATTTCGCACTGTGATGGAAGGGATCCCATGCCAAGTCCTGTTCAAGGAGGGATTCTCAGTGGCTAGTGAAGTCTTCCAGATTCTCCAGTTTGTGGATGACAATATGATATTGTAGCAAGTTCTAGGACATTATAGAGCCATCTGGAAAAATCTGAAATTGCTCAGAGGACATTGATCTTTTCATCCATATAGGAAAGACCAAGTGGATGAGGAATGTAGATTGTCCAAATTTGAATATGCATATGAGTGGACCCTCT